TAAAGTCGATTTTTTTCCACTTCTTCTGTGTTAGAGTGCTCAAGACCTTCTGTTGTAAGATCATTGGGTTCTTGTGCTTTCATGTTGTTTTTCAGATTATTGGGTGAATTTTTGCCTTGGCACCTGCCCATCTCCTCCTATTGATGCTCTCTAATTGGTCTTTTAAAATCAGATCAGGTTTCCCTGCTGGCCAGAAGCTCCTCTTGCAAAATGCCCTCGTTCTGTTTTCTGGCTCCTGCCAGGGGCCAAGATCCCTCTCACCCCTCAGACGGGTCTTCAGGAAAAGAACCAGGTTCCCTGTTTGCCAGGGACCTCGCCAACCAAAGGCCTACCTCTTTGATTTAATTGTCCTGGGGCGATCTGCTCTCGGTGTTGCGCTGGTCCCTGCCGCCTGCGCCTGCGTTGCCTGCCACTGCGCCAGTACCCGCCGGTCCCAGCCGCTGCCACCTGTGTCGCCCGCTGCCGCCGTTCGTCGGTTCCGCCCGCCGCCGCCGTGCGTCCCATCCGTCTGGGTTTTATTCTCCATATTTTCCCACCCAAAATATTGGTAAGCCATATCTTCTCCAATACTTGCTTAAATGTAGCATTCTTTAAATCTCTGACTCTGTGATACTAAAAAAAAATAATGTGGAAAGGGTCTTGGATAAAAAAAAATGTAAGTCGTTCTTCAAACAAAAGAGAAACATCTAACAACTTTACAAACACATTATCTTAGTCTGTTTCTTTATATGAAAAAATGTAATAAAAATAATGAATTCAATGAATTGGTATAGCAGTTTTTGTTGCTTCTATGTCACCAAGTTCAGAAAACTTTTTCTCACTAAGTAAATTTGGTCAAGGGGTAAAATCTGTAGAGTTTTCTAAATGGAAATGGAATGATGTGAACAAAACCAGAAAACAGACTTATCATAAATCAGAAGGTTTATGGAAGATAAAGAATCAAGATCATATGTGAAACTGCAGTATCCATTAAAATTCTTAGGACAAAATTCAGTACACTTGTATATAATGAGAATAAAATTCTCTGTTTGGAATAAAGATGATAGAAGTTGACAGGTGCAACCTTTTATACAGAGAAAAGAAAAATCCACGCTAGCTCTTGCTTTTGAACCTTATAATGGCCTGCAAAGAGACTATCTAAGTCAGGAAGTATCCTGTCTCTCCACTGCTGAAGTACAAAAGACTTTCAAAAAAATCAATGAAAAATTCTGGTAAAGCTTGACACATGAGCTAGGAGGCTATGTGAACAGATGGGATTAACCTAACTGTTATAGAAGTGGGAATGAAGGTCACACACCTACTTAAACCTAATTGACAAAAAGATACATAATCTCCTGCAATGTTCATAAATCATTTATGATGGACTGGCTCAAAGGAAGCACCGGAATGTTTGGTTATCTTAAACAGAGGTCTCATAAATATTATGAACTGTAAACTGATGAATGATAGGTTTTGCTGAAAAACTATGTATGAGAGAAGCAGTGTTTATGGCTGAGTCACTGAACATGATGGAGCTGTGCTTACAGAGGAGGTGAACAATAAAGTTTGCTTCACCAGGGACTTCAGGACGGATGTGCAGCTTTAGTGTCTTTGCAGAGCTCCGTGGTAGACAGTGCTCTTGTGGAACCAACTAACATTTTAAGGAAAAGGTGAAGTATTGTGTAACAATTTTCCCTTTTTGACATAAACTGTTTCTGTTATATTTGAGATTATAATTGCATTTTCCTCTTCCCTTTCATCGTTGTAAACCCTCCCTACACTCTCCCTTGCTCTGTTTCTCATTTATGACCTTTCTTATCATTCATTGCAGTTACATGCATATAAATATATGCATGCAGCTCTACAGTCCTAAATGTAAATTCTTTATAGCTATCATGGATGCTTTCCAGACTCACTGTTGGATATGGGATTTATAACAGTGTGTTCTTCCCTAAGTAGGAGTATTTCCTTAAGTCTCACAAAGTTCTATGGAACGAGGAAGGACGTTCATAAGACTCAGCATATAAACCATGGCTGGGAAGGCTGGAGCAAAAAGATTAATAAGGATCTTCTGCTCTCAAATTTACATAGGTGGTAAGTAAGGAGAACTGAAGAAATGAGAACCTCTGTCTCAGTCAGTTGCAAACAAGTCATGCAGACATGTTCATGGTTCTAGTTTGGCTGTGTCTCCCATTCTGATGGAAGCCTTTGTGATACTACAGATTTGAGTTATTCATATTGCTGTAAGCAATCCTGTACCTATATTCCTGTATTAATCTCATTAAACTCATTAATTTGAAGGAACATGAATGACACATTCTTCCCTGGGAGGCAGATAAAGAAAGGGGGGAAATGGGGAAGTGATAAATACAATTGCCATCTTTGAGCTTTCTTTTTATTTTCCAATCAGAGACAAAGGCTTAGGATGCTCTTCTTCCACCAGCAGGCTGTCTACTCCAGCTGTCCAGTTCAAGACAGATGTTCACAGTCAGTTCTCAACATGGTCACCTGAAGCTGCAGGTGATCACAGCTCTTGTGAGTGAGCAGTGGCTAGGTCATGTTCAAAGACAGCATGTCACAGCAGTCCTCATCATCCTCAGTCAGGACATTCAGGACCCACTTCCATGACATCCCCTGTGTCTACGGGGAATGGTTGCTCTACAGGTCCTGTTTAGGAATGTTCATTCAGGGTATTCCAACATTTTGAAATTATGAGGCTGTGAATTTGCTGCTGTGCACTCCATAAAGAAGAACCTCTGACCAAGCCTGACAGCTGAAGACCTCTATCCATACAAATGGAAATATTTACAAAGAAGTTACTCTTGTCACACAAAGTAACAACAGTAGCTTCATCTTAAAGGAATATATGGTTCATCCAGCCATGGTCTTGAGGACCAGGTACTGATTCCTACCTAGAGTGCAGGTCTCACCAGATCAGCAAGAAGTGAAATACACAAGAACTCTCACGTCACCGTTGCACCAGTGATTTTCTCACATTTTGTATGCCCCATTTAAATGATATTTTCTCATGCTGAAATAAAAAGTTTTAATTTCATAAGATCCTATTTGTTGATTTTTGGTCTCATGGATTATTGGAGAAGAGTCCTATTAAGAACCCCCTTACCTGTGCTTAAAAGTTGGAGGATTTTCTCTGTTGTGTCCTTTGGAATTTGTAGGGTATCAGGTCTCATTTTGACATCCATGACACATTTGGTGCAGTTTGTGTATGGTAGATGATAAAGAGCAGAGTTTTATTGTCTGCATGCTGACAACAATTTTCATAATCAGCATATCTGAGACAGTATCTCAAATGCCAACATAAGTATGAAATACAAATATATGTGCAAAGTAGCCCAAGTGTCACACACGTATATTCTGCTTACCAAGTGACCATGTTGAGGTACCCAGGCATGTAGTAATATGAGGTCAAGCTCTGACCACTCAAGCTAAGTCATGGGAACCACTTGCATTACAATACATTTTCAACAGGACTTATAACCTGGCTCAAGTACTCTAGATTTTGTGGTCATTTTCTTGGGTCCCAGACTTATTTCTCACCAAATGAAATAATATTTGAAGTGTCCCATAATTCCAGCTTTGAGTGCCTTTTTAGTGATTACATTTTTTTCCAACTCTAAATTTTTCTAAATGCTGCAAAGGAAGTGGGAAAAAAGAACACATCCAGGTACTGTGGATGCTATAATGATAGATATGCTTTAAAATTTACCATAGACATACCAGCTCAATCACTCCTGGATGAGCATACTTATCTAGTGAGTTCACTATACTGAATCACATACATATGTCCATGAGTTTGTGTTTAATTGTTATCGCTACACTTCATATAACAGATGGTTCAGGGAATGAGCTTAGATAACCACAAATATATGAATGGAGAAAGAAAAGATAATATGCATAATAATGCAAGATAATCAATAAATGAATACAATCATAGAAAATTACGTAATTCTCAAGAAAATTGTTGCAACTATGTATCATTAGGTAAAGGAAATAGACAAGTCTCCAACATACAAATAACACACATCTTCTCTCATAAATGGAACCATGAAAAAGTATGAAATGAGGATGAAAGTTTTTGCAGAACTCTGAGGGCAAATATTTTAGATGGGGGAAGTATAACAGGGACACAAGGGGGTGTATATGAACATATTACTTATTTTTATATAATTAAAATGTACAGAATAAGATTAATTTTCTATTTATGATATCCTACCTCCAACTCCACTATATACCAAAATCTCTGTTCTCTTTCAAGTTTATGTCCTTTATTCATGCATTGCTATTTTTATACATAAATTTGAATACACATTTATTCCTAAGTACATAGACACCAGTCCATTGATATTACTATTCCATATGTTTTCAGGGCTGTCCATTGGTTACAGGACAACCAGTTTGTGTCTTCCTCTTCAGGGAATGCCCCCTGTCCCACTCCCTGCTTTCCTAAATGACTATAGTTCTGTGCTTTATTTTGTTGCCTTGTAGTTTTCCTTGTCCAGTTGTGCATGCCAATTGATATCTTCCACCTACCTCACACTTATCTGAACCACAATTATAAGAACGTTTAATGTAATCTACGTAGTGTGTCATTCTCTGTCCTACCAGCTCATCTATGGAAGTGTTCACACTTAAGATACTCTATTATTAGAGAATAAATTATCAGAAAAATGCAATAAAAATTGGACAAAATGTTTACCTGTTTTGTTGCAAAGAAGCAAATTAAAAGTCTTGAATTTTAAAACAAGCTAATATTTATTAAAGAATCACAAAAATCACAGAAATATTATGTTTATATGGAGTATAATCTCATTATGTAAGCAACAATATGCCAAGAAATTAAATGTGCATCAAAATCTCAACTGGTTTGTTATTGCCTCCTTTTGTCACACATCTTAACCTACAGTAAAGAAATGTTATTGCTCAATTTACTCCTACTAGAAATATTTACCTATTCACAGCAATTAATTCTTGAATAGCCTGTTTACAATGATGTATAAATTCTGTTTACAACAAATGTTTGATGACAATAAAGTTCAAATCTGGACACAATGTTTCTAAATTCCTAAGAACTGCATAGCTGTCTAAGTATTGACTAAGATTTGAAAATTAATTAAAGGATGTGAGTCTGTCAAATAAGTTGGCTAATGCTTGAAGAGGTGTACAATGAATTAATGTGAGGTATACTAAGAAGTTTTATGAATTTTACCCTTTAAATGCATTTTGTGATGCTTTCTAAGATTTGAATTTGTGTGAAATAACTTGCCACATTCTTGACATCTGTAAGGTTTCTCACCAGTATGGAGTCTGTGATGAGTGTGAAGAGTTGAGACCTGGGTAAAGGACTTTCCACATTCTTCACATCTATAGGGTTTCTCACCAGTATGGGATCTCTGATGATTCTGAAGAGTTGAGGCCCAGGTAAAGGACTTGCCACATTCTTGACACCTGTAAGGTTTTTCACCAGTATGGATTCTTTGGTGAGTTTGAAAGTTTGAATGACGAGTAAATGACTTGCCACAATCTTTACATTTGTATGCCTTCTCTTTGGTGTTAATTCTCTTATACATAGTGGGGCATGCATATCTGTTGAAGCACTTTCCATATTCTATATTAATGTTTTGTTTCTCTTCATTTTGATTGTTTATATAATGCTTCCCTTGTTTCTGACCATTCTGAAACAAAAAGAAGGTGTGTCACAATCAAAATCATCCTTACAATAATCATGTATGTATTGGCTCTTAGGAAAAAGTAGACTCCTATGAACTTATATAATGAGAAAAGACAAACTGTGATTTGATTTTTTGAGAATTTGTCCCTTTAAGAAGAGGATTCTAAAAACTATTCTTTTTAGAGTTCCTGGGAAAGGCATTAAAAACATTATTAAATGTGTAACGCTTCTCATGACTGAAAATTCTATGATATATTTTCAGTCTCATTTGATTGAGAAAACTTATCATGTGTATCTCATGAATAGCTTGTAACAAAATGTAATTTTGTTGAGAAAACTCTAGCGAATGTTTAATCGAACACATATCATTCAGTTTGCAGGTTTTTCAATATTCTTTGTAGAGAAAAACGTGTTTTACAACTTATTTGTATTTTTCACTGAAGAAAATGATTCTGAAATTGTAAGTGATCTAATGTGAAATCTTTCAAGATAAGGTAGACGTTATTGACCTTAATTTTTAGTACCACCCAGGATGGCTGATGAATAGAGATTATTTCAATCATGACATAATCCATTCTCTTTTTTTTTCTTCACAAAATATTGAAATCATCCTTAAATGGAAGGTTTTAAAGTCAATACTTACAGCTATTCCTGATACCAACTTCTGAATACAATCTTGTTTGTTCTCTTGTGAAAATAAGTCTTGTTTTTGATGAGAATATAAAACTAGAAGAAAGAAAAACATATAATTATCTGAATTACTATACTCAGGTGAAACGTTTTCAGTTATATAAGTAACACAGTTTTATAAATATGTAGACATATATGCAAGATGGCATATTTTACAAAATAAACTTCAAATCATTTATTCTAATGAAAAATCTTCTTAATGTAAATGTGTAGAATATCTTTTATAACATACACTAAATACATTTTAAAAATGAAAGGATCGAGTTTATGTTATCTTTGATGTTCCAATCATAATTTTCAGAATAATAAATGAGATTATGGTGGTTTGAGTGAAATGACCCCATTTAATCAGATATCTGAATACATGGCCTAATGTTGGTGGATACTTATGGGTACGATAAAGAGGTATCAATTTACTGGAACAGCTATGTCCTTGGACACTGGCTTTGAGAATTTTAAAGCCTTCTAATGCCAACAGTGAGTTATCTATGTCCTCTTGTGGATCTATATGAGACCTGTCACTTCTGCTCTAGCCCTTTGCAAACTGCTACCTATGATTCATCATCATGGTTCTTTCTTCTGTACTTTGCCTTTATCTTGGAGTTTTATTACAACAATAGATAAGCAATTAATACAAAAACTATAACCCAAGTATAATAAAATTGCACTCATGAAACTGTATTATCTTAATGGATATCACTCATCTCCATAATCCCTTGAAATGAACAAATTGAGTAATATTAAGAAAGAAGACATAATATTAATTAATAAAGAAAGAAGAAAAGGGAAAACCAGAAAGAGTTCTTACTAAGTGGTCCACAGAGAATCATGTATACCATACGGAAGGGATTCATAAAATTTCAGACATCAAGGAATTTCACTAGGACTGATCTTATTATCAGAGATACATTTTCTCTTATTCTTATAAGAAAATAGATGCATTCATAAGATATATTCTGACTATGACACTTCATCACTCAAATGACCTGAGTTTATCCCCATCTTTACTCATGCCTGAATTTATCCACTTTCTGTCACTTTTTAGAAAACAAATAGGCATCTAAAGAATAACAATAAGATAATCAGAATAAAAGAAACCAGATAGGGTAAGAGAAGAAAAGTAGACAAAGAAAAAAAAAGCACAGTAAGCATATGTAGAGAGAAAGACACAATTTGCACCCACAATATTGCATAAAACAAAGCATAGAAAAACTTTAGAAGGTGTAATGTAAAAAAGATACTTTAAGGTCATTAATAAAATTAAATACATTTCAAAACTAAACATTATAGGTAAAAAAAAAACGTAAAAATTCCATTGAGTTGTGTTGGTGATATCCTTCAAGTGCTGGTTTTAAGGAATTACTGTAAGTGTGATTTTTTGGCTTACTTTTTTAATTATTATTTTATTACTTTAAAAATATATCAATTCAAATTACCACACCCTCTCCTCTTTCCACTCCCTCCCCACACCCTCCTACCCCTCACTTCTCTGATCCTAAGAGAGGACAAGGAACCCATCCCTGAGGCGAGTCCAAGCCCTACCTACTACATCTAGGTTGAGCAAGGTATACATCCAAACAGAATAAGATCCCAAAAAGCCAGTACATGCAGTAGAGACAATTCCCAGTGCCACGGTCAGTGCCCCAACTGTCAACCACCTTCAGAGAGTTTGATTCCATGCTAGTTCACTCCCATTAGCTCAGGCAAACTGTCTCAGTGGGTGAACCATTCATGGTCTTGAACTCCTTGCTCATATTCTCACTCCTTCCACTCTTCAACTGAACCTGGTAACTCAGGCCAGTGCTCAGATGTGGTTTTCTGCCTCTGTTTCCATCTGTTGTTGGACAAAGGTTCTATGGTGATATTTAAGATAATCATCAGTCTGACTACACTGCAAGGCTAGTTCAAACACCATCTCCTCTATTGCTTAGGGTCTTAGCTGGGGTCATCCTTGTGGATTCCTGGACATTTTTCTAGAGTCAGGTTTCTTGCTAACCACATAATGGCTCCCTCAATCAAGATATCTCTTCCCTTGCTCTCACATCTGTTCTTCCTCCATCTCGGCTACCCCATCCCCATAAGTACTCTTCAACCCTCCTCTTTTCCCTTCCTTCTACCCCCCAGCCCCCATGCTCCCAATTTTGCCAGGTGATCTTACCTGTTTCCAATTCCCAGGAGGGTCTATATATGTTTTTCTTTGGGTTCACCTTATTAATTAGTTTCTCTAGAATCATGAACTATAGGCTCAATGTCCTTTGTTTATGGCTAGTATTTACTTATGAGTGAGTACATACCATTATTCAATTTTTGAGTCTGGGTTACCTCACTCAGGACAGTGTTTTCTATTTCCATTCATTTGCATGCAAAATTCAAGATGTCATTTTTTTATGCTGAGTAGTATTCTAATGTGTAGATGTGCCACACTTGTTTTTCCTTTCTTCAGTTGAGAGGAATCTAGGTTTTTTCCAGATTCTGGCTATTCCAAATAATGATGCTATGAACATGGTTGAACAAATGCTTTTATAGTATAATTGAACATCTTTTGGGTATATTCCAAAGAGTGGTATTGCTGGATTCTGAGGTAGGTTGATTCCCAGTTTTCTGAGAAATGGCCATACTGATTTCTAAAGTGGTTGCACAGGTTTGCATTCCCACCACCAATAGATGAGTATTCCCCTTACTCCACATCCTCTCCAGCACAAGCTATCAGTTGTGTTTTTGGTGTTAGCCATTCTGAAGTGAAAGATGATATCTCAGCATTGTTTTGATATGCATTTCCCTGATTGCTAAAGAAGCTAACCTTTCCTTAAGTATCTTTTGGCCATTTGAAAAAAATGCATAGAACAAAACAAAGCAAAACTCTAGAAGGCATAATGTACATATAGATACCATAAGATCATATATAAAAGTAAATTCCAAAGCTAAACGTTATGGAGAAAAAGAATATACAAAAATTCCATTGAGTTGTGTTGGTGATATTTCAAGAGCTGGTTATGGGGAACTCCTGTGTGACTTTTATCTCCACTAAGACTCTCTTGAAGAAAACATTTTTCATTGGGAACTTGTGGTCTGTTGGACATACTTTAGGTATAATTAGGATTAAATGCTCTTTATACATAAGTGAAATTTTCTAGATTCTTTGACAAAATGAGTGTAATAGATGAGTGGACTTAAGTTAGTATCTACAACTTGATTTTTTGATCAATATATCTGTTTTTCAGTAGTGCCAATATTTTACAAAACCTGATTATTTAAAAAATGTAGTATAATTTAAAACTCTGAATGGTATATTGTTTATAGTTATATTTTTCTTAATTGTTTAAGCTATTGTGAGTTTTTGATTTGTTTGTATCCATATGACACTGAAAACTGTGTTTTGAGATCTGAGAAGAATTGTGTTAGAATTTTGATAGGGTTTTCATGAGCAGTTTTGAGCATAGATATTTTTACATCCTCCAATATTTTATCAATTTATTCCTTCACTGCCTTAAAGATTTTAAAAGGTCTTTCACTGTTTGAGTTCTAATTACCCAAAACTATTTCTTGAGGTTATTGTCAAAGACATCATTTCCCTGAATTCCATTTAAGTCTTCCCTCATTTGTATATAGGAAGGTTACTGCTTTTTGTTAGTTAATTTTGCATTCCTTATCTTTGATGAAAGTGCTTCTCAATTGTACAAGTTTCTACATAGAGTTCTTAGAGTTTTTATATATAAAACATAACATCTGCATATAACATATTTTTGATTTCTTCCTTCGCTATTAATTACTCCTAGATCTTCTTCATTTTGTTATTGTTTAAGCTAAGATTTCAAGTACTGTATTGAATACATATTGGGAAAATGAGTATACTTGCATTGTTCCTTATTTTATTAGAGAGTTTGAATTCTTTCCTTTTAATTTGATGAGGGCTATACACTTTCTGTTTATTGCATCTTTTATTTGGAGGTATATCTCTTATACCCCTAAACTCTCCAGGACTTCTATTGAGAAGAAGTGTTAATTTTGTCAAAGGCTTTTCTGCATCTAATAAGATGAACTTCTGGAATTTGACTTTAGTTTATACAAGTGGTAGATTACACTTATTGGTGTTGAATGGTTCATCTACCCCTACATGTCTTGACATGAAGCCTATGGTAGTTTATCTTTTTGTTATGTTCTTAGATACAGGTCGCAAATATCTTATTGATGGCCTTTGTATGTATGTTCATAATGAAATTGGCATATATTTCACTTACATATTGGGTGTATACACGGTTTAGGTATCAAGGTAACTGTCCTTATGAAAAGAATTTCACAGTGTTCTGTTGCTTTTATTTTGTAGAATAATTTGGGGGAACATTCATGTTAATTCAAATGCATTATTAAAAAATAGAAGGTACCACATACTACCATTATTCTGCATGGTATTAAAATTATATTTAACGCCTATTGATTTACCCACAGACTGTTGCATCTCACAGCCTTCATTCACAAATTCTGGCAGGCAAAATTTGACAACTAAAGGTGACTCACATGTGGACATGATCCAAAGACAAGAAAATATTTAATTTTAAAGAGTATGTTCATACCAAACTTATTCCATTGACTGTTAGAGAGCTCAGTCAGGACAGAGTGATAATACATAACAAGGAATGAATTCATGAATGACTATAGAAAATAGTGCTTTCTGTGCACAACATGACAGTTGACCATATAAACTCAAGTAATTAGGATAGAATTATCAGTCCTGAGCAATCCCAAGCCAGATTAAAATCCTTGGGACTTGGACAATAAGAAGGGACATGAAGAACCATGCCTTACTGAGAAGCTACTATTATCTTAAAGATGCTTGGAGAAAGGGAATAATGTTGATTTTAAAAATGTGCAACTCCTGATTATTCAACCATATTGTAGGCAATGCTCAACACCCACAATTTTATGGGAGTTTCAGATTGAACTCTGAATGTAAAAAAAGAAGAGGAGCCTAGGCAGTTTGGATGCTCACCTCACTAGACCTGGATGGAGGTGGGTGGTCCTTGGACTTCCCACAGGGCAGGGAACCCTGATTGCTCTTTGGGCTGACGAGGGAGGGGGACTTGATTGGGGGAGGGGAAGGGAAAGGGGAGGAGGTGGTGGGGAAGTGACAGAAATCTCTAATAAATAAATAAAAACAAAGAGGACAATGATGGTAAAACCAAAAAAAAAAAAAAAAAGAGGAAAAAACCAAAGATGTCTGAAGGAAGTGCAACTTGAGAAGAGTGGAGAGTGGAATTTGGTCAAATGATACTGCAATGTATTCTTAAATCACTAATAAAAGAATTAAAAGTAAAATATTGTGGATATTTCTCCAAACAAATTCCAGTTCACATATAAAATACAAAGGAAAACAAGTGCATTTACAACATTTATGTGGAAATTAACATAAAAATTTTGACAGTCAGAGTATAGTAGGTGACATTAAATTAGACCAATACCATGTATGACCCTAAACAAATCTTAATTTCTAAGGAATATTTTGCAGAAATAGAGAAAGTTACCTTTTAAGTTCTGTAGTATTTGACACAAAGAATAAACTCTACAATCTTTCAAAATGAATACAACTATAAGATTTATATTTCCTGATATTATGTGAGTCTACACAACAGTGAAAACCATGTAATTCTATCATGAGGGCAGACAAACCGACATGAACAGGTACAGACCAATACTTCTTCAAACACTGTGGAGTTTTTTAATGCTAGTTTTCATTTCAATATTGTTCATTTCAAGGCCTGCTAGAGTTCAAAGATATGGTAACAAATCATATTACTTCTGCTTTATACTGTAATTTAAGTTAATTATTCAAAGTGAAATTTTAGGTCATTTAATTTATAAAGTCATTTGGAATAATCATTCAATATGCATTTTTACATAATTTTAGGTAGAAATATTTGTGCATCTGTTACGGGGAGAGGGAGTCTTCTGTTCTGGCAGCCCAGCTAGCTTATACCCAAAATAATCACACAGAAACTGTATTAATTAAAACACTGCTTGGCCATTTGTTCCAAGCCCTATTGAAAAACTTTCACATTTTGATTTAACCCATTTTTATTAATCTGTGTTCACCATGAGGTCATGGCTTACCAGGAAAGATTTAGCATGCCTGACCTGGTGTCTCCATGGTGGTTCTGTCATTCTGACTCGGCTTTTCCCTCCCAGAATTCACTTCTGTCTTCTCTGCCTACGTAAGTTCTGCTGTATAAGGCCAAGCAGTTTTTTTTATTGATTAACAAATGAAAACAATACATAAACAAAAGGATTTCCTACACCATGCATCCCACTTCAGGGCAGAATTTCTCCATGCCCTAGGTTTTCCATGTGTGCCAATACTTCATTCTGGCTTACCTTGTTCATTGCCTTCTGTCTCTCCAAAGTTTACATTCCGGGGCTCTTTGCTTTTTTCAAGAAAGCTGATCAGGTTTGGTTTTGACACTGAAAAACCTGCATATTGGAAAAGACCTATGACCATAACTTGGGATAACAAAAAAACACAAAGATATCTCATAAACCACCATACTGATTATTTAAGATGGCCTATAATTTAAGATTCCAAGTATGATTTTCTAATTGCTATCTCCAAATATTTTAACACACTTAAAAGCATTTTAGCTAATATTTTATACCTTGAGTTTCTTTGTAAATTACTACTGGATCAAATGCAAACACATTATGAATAATTAAGGTGCAAATCAATATATAATCTGTGATGTGTCTGAAAAGTAAAATGTATTATGAAAGTTTGAATGATGAATGTCATCTCCAGGAGTCAGGAATACATTGACAAGATGAAGTTACACAAAACCTTGTGTTCTACATAATGAACTCCACAATTTTTATTAAATGGCAAATGAAAATGAGACAGATAATTCATACATAGATGTAAAATATACTTGTTGGAAATGATTATGATAAATAAGGAATAAGAAAAGAAAAAGGTCTCACCTACAGAGACCATATTACTGTAGTTCTCCAACATGACTTCCCTGTACAAAGCCCTTTGTGCAAAGTTGAGGCAGTCCCACTCATCTGGAGAGAAATCAATTGCCACATCCTGGAATGTCAAGATTCCCTGTCATGAAAAGAAAGAGTTTATTAAGTGCCCTCAAAAAATTTCTTTACTTAGACTAAGGATACAAGAGTTCATTACAAAACTTGAGGTGTTCTTCCTTAGCATTGTTCTAAAAAACATACTCCAAAATACAGTCTATAATAAAATTCCATGTGCTGGAAATACTAAACCAAGTAGGCCAAATAAGTTGTCAATCTATGGGCTAAAAGGGGGTATGTGAATGGGAGGCAGATTATCTTCATGTGAAGTTCCAGACTTCACCCATGCCCTTAATTATCTATCCTCATGGCAAATTTTTCTTTAGAAACCACAGGTTGAAGAATCATGAGCTGTCAAGTTGCTATCCTGCGGGCATACACTGTTGCCAAATAAAAATATGTCAAATATAAGATGTAGCAAAGGCAGAATTTCCATATCCACTGCTTGGCCCATTAGCTCTAGCCTCTCACTGGCTAATTCTCAGGTCTTGATTAGCCCATTTTTAATAATGTGTGTAGCACCACGAGATGTTTGCTTAACGGAAGATCTTTTCTTCTTTTTTTTCTTTCTTTTTATTTATTAAAGATTTCTGTCTCTTCCCCACTGCCGCCTCCCCTTTCCCTCCCCCTCCCCCAATCAAGTCCCCCTCCCTCGTCAGCCCATAGAACAATCAGGGTTCTCTGCCCCGTGGGAAGTCCAAGGA